CTTGAACTAATGTGGAAGCATTACCCTGAGCAGCAGTGGGCAGTTGTGATTGGCGGTTAGTGTCAGCTGGCCGCTTTCAGTCTATCACAGTGCCCACTGCTGGTATGAATTGGTACAGCAGAAAGAATTGTGTATTGGCCTGGCTTTAGGCAGCCAGGGACCCTTATTCAGTATTAATCTTCTATAACAGAATTACCTTGGTACTTGGAGAGGACTGCAGGTCAGCCTCCTTTCCACCGACTATAGTCCTTGCCTGGAATGGAGTTCTGTTTTAGGGACTGCTTTCCCCCCTGGTTTGAGTTTGCAAGATTGGGATTCCCTTATTTGAAAAACTGGATTTATTTCAGGCTTGTGATGACTCTCCATTGCCCTCTGTTGGTGAAACAGAAAAATGCATTGTTGGCATAATCACAATATGAAAAGTAGGATATTGTAAAAACTGACAAGTTGCATCCATATATCTAAGTTTTCCCATAGTTTGGAAAGTTGTAATTATGTTATATATTTGAGGCGTTGTTATGCTGCTTGTTCTTCACATTATGTATGTTGTTTATATTTTTATGGTTTGCACCACATGCTTAAGGACTAGTTTGCAAAGGCTATTCCTAGTTCTTAAATAAAGTATTGTATGTTAGCTACTTTTGGAACTGTGTGTCTTGGTTGACTTTTTAAGGGATCCCAGTAAAATAGTCTTCAGACGTATTGGCGGGTTGCTTTCTCCCTATATCCCATTCAGGGCTTGAGTCCTGTAGGAACGCGTGTGAACGGCGTTCCTGTACTTTTTTTAACAGCAGGAACGCCGTTCCCCCTGCAGGCACTCAGGTGGCGGCAAAAAATTCCTGAAATGCCCTGTGTTCCCCCTGTCATGGGGGGGCCACCTGATGGATCCCCCCCCTCCCCACACCCTCAGCGGGCGGCTCTCTTCCTGTCACACGCGGCGAGGGAGCTGTGTCCTATCTGCTCCCTCTCGCCGCGTGCCGTTTTCTGATGCAGGGAGCCAGAATATGACATCATATTCCGTCTCCCAGCATCAGCAGACAACCCTCGCGGCGAGAGGGAGCAGAGAGGACACAACTCCCTCACCGCGTGTGACAGGGAGAGGCGGAGGGGTCCATCAGGTGGCAAATTTGGCTATTCTCCCTAGGAGGTTCCTTTAAGATGAAGTGGTTTTGGTACTTAGAGTGTCCCTTAAAAACCCTCTTTTAATGATATTTTATGGGATATTAAATCCCAATCCCCACACAATGGGTTTTTCATATTTTCCCTAAGTAATATGCTATAAAATGCATTGATTACAAAATTGCCAAGATGAACATCAATAGATGAACTATAGGTTTTTAGTTTGCTGGCTGAGATTTATGGGAGCTGTAGTTTCTCAAGAAATGGGAAGATGTATGCTGCATCAGAAAATGTTGATTCCCTTACAAATCCACTGGTTTCGAGCCTGTCATACATTACAGATACAAGTAAACACACACCCATACAGACATATAATCACAAACTCGCACACATGCTGATACACCCTTCCAGATATACAAACACTCAAACACATATTGCCAGGCACACTCACTTATACGCTGCCAGGTCCACACAGATAGAAGCTACCAAATATTAACATTGTTACACGCTGCCAGACTCACATACACAAATATACATTGCCAGATACACACATACAAACACACAGAACTACATAATATGCATGTGTTTAGACACCCTTTGGTTTGCCTACATTTGATCTTTGCTAGCTACACTTGAACTTCTGCACAGCATCCTGTGCGTTGGGAGGAAGTGATAGTACGTCACGTACTTCCAGTGTTTCAATGTTAGTGTAAAGGGAGTTATTAGTGCTTTCAGGAAAGGGACCTGCTCCTTGATAGTCTTCATTGCAGTATTTACATCTCCCAATCTGGACCACATAGTGTTAAAGTGCCCTTGTGTGGGCCTTTTATCGTCGCATTCTCTGTACCCCATGATGGGGACCCTAGTCTTTGCAGTTGTCTATGGTAGCTGAGGATTCTGGGAGCTGTAAAGCAATGCACTAAGTTTGCCTATTTCTGTAAACGTACAGTCATGGAATCCGCCACAAACGAAGGATCCTGGGGAATGTAGTTTCATAACAGATGGAGAGCCAAATGTTGCTTAACCTTAAGTGTCTGGCAATCATGGAATCTGAGGCTTGATAAGAATATGAAAGCCGCACTATAACAGTTGCAGAGCTGCAAGTTAAATTAATCCTGCAGGCTAACAGTCATGGGAGCTACGGCTGGATTCAACATCTGGGAGTTGTTGGTTTACAACAGATAAAGGGAAACAGGTTACTTATTCTGGCTGGAAAGTATAGTTTTGGCTCAGAAAAATGCAGAACTGCAGATGTTACTGATATGAGTCTATACAAATTTCCAGAGTGAGACCATTTCTTCTTGGAGAACTGTCTGAATGCTTAGTTTTATGCATGGCAGCTGGCAACCAGGTGCTACCTAATTCTAAAGGGTCCTATGTGCATGCCTAAATTCCCTAAAATGATATACATCCTTGAGCAGTGAATGCTCGCACATTTTAAATAATTTCTTCTCTTTGAATTCAGAACATAACAGTCATAATATTAGAGTACTTTATAGATTTCCAGAGACAAAAACGTTTATAAATCCAAAAAAGGTTTCAAAGCTCTTTGAAAATACTGTCCTAATGTAATATCTATATTTATCAACTCTAAAATTGCAGCTAATATTCTCCTAGGTGTTGGACTGATTAAACAATGAAGCTCCGGTTGCAGGCAGTCTGCTCCTTGTATACCAGGACCTGTACATTTTCTGTTAGAATAACATATCGGAATGTGTCTCACCGGGAGGCTATAATGAGATATCCCCATATGTCAGGTAAAAAGAGTTTAATGAGCCATCTTATTAATATTGTAGCCTGCTTTTTCAAAATATTTGTGCATTTTCATGCAATAGACTAAAGCAAAGAACTATGAAGTATTCATTAGCATAATTTGGTTAGGGAGCTGATTAGTGTTGTGAAGACATCTTGTATAAAATAAAATGGTGGAGGCGCTAAGTGCAATGACGCAGTGGTGATCATAATTAGATGCCTTACCCTTTCCCTGAAGGGTGTAAGACAAATAGAGGAGGGAGGGATTCCCAGTTAGATGGTGTACAGCTGGTGCAGATTATTTTAAAGGGCTATATTTGTAGTTGTAATCCAGATAAACTATTCTGTTTAATGCATTTTATTGATATAATATACACAAAACAATACATTACAATCAATTTGAGGTTATTGCATTGCTTCAATGTCCCAGGCATATATGCTAAACCAAACTAGAAAAAACTTTCACGATGCTCACTTTAACTGACACTAAAGACACCCAAACCACTGCATCTCAATGATGAAGCCTGCAATGTAAATGTTTAGCCACTAGATGCGCTTTCTCGGCTGTAACGGAGTAAAACTTGGTTATAGCTCAAATGCTGCTCTCAGAGCACGCATGCACGTTAGCCTCCCAATGCTTCAAAAGTGGCAGAAATGAGCAAACGCGCCCATGGGTGAAAGGTAGTAGACACCTAAATATGTCTCAGAACTCTAGAAATTAGGAATACATGTTTGTATTCCTAATGCTATAGTGTTTCTTTAACTCTCTACACATTTCTGCAATGTGGTATCTCGTTTTCGGCAATTTCCATCCATGCAAATGTTTTGGGAAAAGTAATTCAGAAGAACCAAAATGGCACAGAAATTGTCCAGTCAGTGCACTGTAAAATATATGCATAATATAAAATGTATGTATATATTTTGTGTTATACTGATAGGCAGATGTTTGTGCCTTTTTGCTCACAGATCAAATATGAAGAAGTAGCCAATAAAACGCAAAATGTGCATTCATACTTGTGGGACTTGCATTGTGGCAATATACTTAGGATCTACTTGAAAAATACTAGACATGTGCAATTTGTATCGTTCCGAATGCAAATTCCAACGAATTTCGGAAATTCGGACATTTGGATGCTTCCGAATGTCCGAATTGCCAAAGTGCTTCGGATTTCTGAAAAGTGGCAAAACAGGAGAGCGTTGGAGTAGGGTTAGGGTTAGAGTAGGGTTAGTGGTTGGGGTAGAGGTAGGGTTAAAGGTAGGGTTAAGGGTTGGGTTAGTGGTTGGGGTAGGGTTAGGGGTAGGGTATAGTGATGTCGCGAACGTGAATTTTTCGGTTCGCGAATGGCGAACGTGAACTTCGGCAAATGTTCGCGAACCGGGCGAACCGCCATAGACTTCAATGGGCAGGCGAATTTTAAAACCCACAGGGACTCTTATTGGTTGAAGGGGGGGGGGGGAGACCTACTCTCCTCCCCCACCCCTGGGGGGCGAAATCCATCCAATCACAGTGCTCTGTGTCATTTTACACAGTGTTTGTTTTTTAAACAAATTCCTATATATAGTGAAACAGACACATAGACATATACAGACACACATACACATACTTACACATACTTTCAAGCCATCCAATCATAGTGCTCTGTGTCATTTTACACAGCGTGGGAAAGTTCTTTTGAATTTTCCCACGCTGTGTAAAATGACAAAGAGCACTCTGATTGGCTTAAACCCACCAATCAGAGTGTTCTTAGCCTAATTGCAGAGCGTGGCAAGGCTTTATAAGCCTTCCCCCGCCCTGCAGAGCTCAGTCTGCACGGAGCCCTCCATGGGTGAAGATGGATTATTTTTTTGCGCTCGGGTTTTTTCTTTTTTGTCGGTTTTTTTTTTGCGCTCGGGATTTTTATTTTATTTTCAATTTGACGGTTATGATGGTTTTTTATTTGGCCTTTTTTGGGGCTGAAAAAAGAAGATTTGAGAAAAAAGAAGACGTCGAATGGTAAGTTTACTTTTATTTTACAGGTTAGTTATTTTATTCCCCCCTCACTATTTTTTAGGGTGAGGGGGGTAGGTAGGGACTTTTTATTTGGGGGGGGTGGTGACTAGGGGCTTGGGGACCCCTAGTCACCTTGGGTGGGGGAGGGATTTGCTTAGGGCCCCCACCCGCAGCCCAGGGGTGGGGGCCGGGGGGGGAGGACAGTAGGTCGCCCCCTCATTATCTTTGTGGCCCCCACCCGCCACCCAGGGGTGGGGGCCGGGGGGGAGGACAGTAGGTCCCCCCCTCATTATCTTTGTGGCCCCCACCCGCCGCCCACGGGTGGGGGCCGGGGGGGAGGACAGTAGGTCCCCCCCCTCATTATCTTTGTGGCCCCCACCCGCCGCCCAGGGGTGGGGGCCGGGGGGGGGCAGTAGGTCCCCCCCTCATTATCAATATGGCCCCCACCCGCCGCGCAGGGGTGGGGGCCGGGGGGGGCAGTAGGTCCCCCCTCATTATCAATATGGCCCCCACCCGCCGCGCAAGGGTGGGGGCCGGGGGGGCATTAGGTCCCCCCCTCATTATCTATATGTCCCCTACCCGCCGCGCAGGGGTGGGGGCGGGGGGGACAATAGGTCCCCCCCTTATTTTTCATTTTAGGGCCCCCACCCTCCGCTCAGGGATGGGGGCCGGGGGGGGACAATAGGTCCCCCCCTCATTATCAATATGGCCCCCACCTGCTGCCCAGGGGTGGGGGCCGGGGGGGAGGACAGTAGGTCCCCCCTCATTATCTTTATGGCCCCCACCCGCCGCCCAGGGGTGGGGGCCGGGGGGGGTCAGTAGGTCCCCCCCTCATTATCAATATGGCCCCCACCCGCCGTGCAGGGGTGGGGGCCGGTGGGGCATTAGGTCCCCCCCTCATTATCTATATGTCCCCCACCCGCCGCGCAGGGGTGGGGGCGGGGGGGACAATAGGTCCCCCCCTTATTTTTCATTTTAGGGCCCCCACCCACCGCTCAGGGATGGGGGCCGGGGGGGGGACAATAGGTCCCCCCCTCATTATCAATATGGCCCCCACCCGCCGCCCAGGGGTGGGGGCCGGGGGGGAGGACAGTAGGTCCCCCCCCTCATTATCTATATGGCCCCCACCCGCCGCCCAGGGGTGGGGGCCGGGGGGGCATTAGGTCCCCCCCTCATTATCTATATGTCCCCCACCCGCCGCGCAGGGGTGGGGGCGGGGGGGACAATAGGTCCCCCCCTTATTTTTCATTTTAGGGCCCCCACCCACCGCTCAGGGATGGGGGCCGGGGGGGGACAATAGGTCCCCCCCTTATTGGTATTTTTAGGGCCCCCACCCACCGCTCAGGGGTGGGGGCCGAGGGGAGGGGGGGGGGGACCCTTTTTTTTAAAACAGTTTAATCTTTGTCTATCACTGTTTAATAGACATAATTTTTACTTAGTATTAGTAAATTAATAGGGGGTGGACCGAACATCGCATATGTTCGCCGTCGGCGGCGAACGCGAACACGCTATGTTCGCCGGGAACTATTCGCCAGCGAACCGTTCGGGACATCACTAGTAGGGTACCCCTAACCCTATTCTTAACCCTACCCCTAACCAGGGCTGTTTGAAGGAATTTGGGGGCCCCAAGCAAAATGAACATGGAGGCCCCCCCAAGTCCCCCTCATCCCCCTGCATGCACGCAAAGCCTACAGGAACCACAGCATAGCAATACAGTTTAAGTTCACCCACACTTTATATAAATAAAAAAGGTTTACAGTGCAAATACTGCTGCTGCTTATACTGTGTATAAATAAAAAATGTTTACAGTGCAAATACTGCTGTTGCATATAATGTGCATAACATTTTCAACAATTGAACATTTGCAAAAAACACCACTGTACCATAAAATCAAATATATATTAAAAAGTGCACAATAATTAAATCCAACATACTTAAAACTCACACACACACTAAAGACAAACACACACTCACTAACAGACAGACACACACTAACAGACACACACTCACTCACTAACAGACACACACACTAGCAGACACACACACTCACTCACATTAACACACTCACTTTTTTTTTTAATTTAACCCCTCCAGCCTCCTTACCTTTGGGAATGCTGGGGGGTTCTCCCTCTCCCTTGGGTCTAGTGTGGCTGCTGGGTGGTCGGGCGGGCGGCGCTGGCGAGGGAGCACTTTCCACTGAGCGCTCTGCTCGGCTCAGTTTTATCTATATTTCAGTCACTCTCAGGACCTGCTTAGGGACTTTCTATCTGTCTCTGTTTCTACTGGTGGGTTTTCACTCTGCATGTTGGGTTAATCATTACACGTTCCAACCTTGGTGACCTGCCGAGATAGCTGATCTATATGTATAGTCTAAAAGTGAAGTAAGGAACCTCAAAACATGACTCACAGGTGCAGATATGGGATCCATGTGTTTTTCCATGCACCAACCAGTCCATGAGTTCCAGGCATGTAGGTAGGATATTCTTGTTCCTGGAGCTCAAGCTCCCGCCAGGAGGTCCAGAGTTGCTTGTGGAACATTTGGGATGAAACAGAGTCCCCGGAGAGGAGCCATGCCAAAAGCTTGAGATGTCCCTAGAGTAGAAGGGGACTTCTGTTGCGGTCCAGTAAAAGGTTGGAGAATACCAGGAGTAATCTCGGGAAGCCTATGGACATTTACATGCGTGTAGGGAACCATGGCTGAGTCACCCAGAAAGGGATATGAGGATCAAGGAGTTCTGGTAATGCCTGAGATGTAATAGTGTCCGAGGCGTAATGGCGAGTGTTCGGCCACGGGTGAAGAAAAGCATTTGCCACTAGAGCTTCCGGATCTGGCCTCCAGCTTAAGAACTTCAGTAGTTGGGAGTTCAAACATTATGCGAACTGGTCGAAATCTAAGGGGCCCCAAAGTGACTGTAAACGGCTGAAGATAGAAGGGTTCAGTCGCCAATCGCTGGTATCTCGTAGGTGTCTGGAATTCCAATCCGCAACTACGTTGGACATGCCCAGAATGTACTCCGACTGTACCGAAATATTGCGATCCAGGCAGAATTGACAGAATTTCTTCGCTAGGTCCACTAAGACTGTTGACTTCGTGCCCCCAAACTGCTGATACATTGTCCATGCATAACAGGATGGAGCAGTTGATCGATATACCTAAGAGGCTCCATAGGGCAAACGAGCCTGATAGCAGTTCGAGGCAATTGATATGTAGTCCCTGTTCCTTTAAGGACCATTTTCCCCAGTGGAAATAGGCCCTCAGCGCGGCCCCCCAGCCGAGCGTACTTGAATCTGATTCCACTATGAAGTCCGGAGTGGTTACGAAGATCACTCCCCCGTTCCATGCCTCCATGTGTTGTAGCCACTACGTGAGTTCTTCTTTGGCTGTGCAGTCGGGAGGAACAGAGTCTGAATAAGAGTGACCCAAACAAAGGTATTTGGCCTTCAGACGTTGAAGTGCTCTGTAGTGCAGCGGGCTGGGAAATATGGCTTGGATCGATGAGAAGGCCGATAATCCTTGCCAGCTGCCTCAGGGTAAGAACAGGACGTGCTAACGTCCAGCGGATTTCTTTCTTGATGGACTTGACTTTGGATGTTGGTAGAAGGAATGCTCCACACATGGAATCTATGGTGAATCACAGAAATTCTATTGATCAAGAAGGTCCGAGGACTGACTTTTCACAATTGATTTGGAAGCCTAGGTTGTCCAGCAGAGTCCTCATCCATGTGTTCACGGAGCAGATGAGGGTCCTGTGCTATGATGAAGATATTGTCCAAGTATATTCTGAGGTGAACTCCTCTGCTGCGTAGAAGGGCAAACACTGATTTCCTTAACTTTGTGAAGCACAAAGGTGCCGAAGAGAGGCCGAATAGAAGGCATTTGAATCGCCACAATGCCTTCTCCCACCGGAATTGTAGGCAATTTTGGCATCAGAACGGTGTGGTATGCGTCCTTCAGGGTCGTGTTTGACCATCCAGTCCCCTGAAAGCGGAAAAAAACAAGAGAGTGTATACCTTCCATCTTAAAATGGTGGTATGTAACAAAAGCGTTTAGGGGTCGTAAGTTGATGACCGGTCGAACACCTTTCTTGGGGACTAGGAAGAGGTTGCTTAGGAAACCTGGAGTGCGAGTTGCTGAAATATTGCATCATATTACTATAGTGAAATATTTCTAAATGTATTCCTTAAACAGATCTGAATTGGGTTAGAATAAGCTGATAATGGGTAGTTGCAGCATTTGGGCTGAAATAGCTTAGTTTTGAACAAAGCTGTAAAAAATAAAAAGCTGTCTGTGGGTTTGGTTTATTGGCATACACAGGGCATTATTGTTCCTGTAGGCCTAGTCAGGGCCAGCAAAGCTGCTAGGCAAACAAGGCAGTTGCCTAGGGTGCACTGGCTTGGGGGGCGCAATCTCCAGGTGACCGGCAGAATGGAGCACTGTGCAGTGCGCTCCCCTCCTGACAGTCCCTGGCAGTCACTATATGTAGCGTGGGCAAGTCGGGAACCACAGTAGAGGAGCTTCTGTATCTTCTACCCGGTCTGACAGGAAGTGCTCGCAGGTAGCGCAGAACAGCTTCCTGTCAGGCTGGGTAGAGGAAACAGAAGATCCTCCAATGCAGTCCGCGGCTTGGCCATGCTACACGAGGGAGGTGAGCTGGCACATGGGGGGTGGGGGGGATGGGAGATACCACAAAGGGACTGGGTGGTGGGAAGAAACCATAAAGGGAAAATGGGAGGACAACAAAGGAACAGGGAGAAAACCACAAAGGGACAATGGGGACAAAGAGAAACAGAGAGGGCTGAGGGGGGCAAAAAGACACACAGATGGCTGGGGGGGACAACTAGACTCACGGAGAGGTTGGGGGAGACAAAGAGACACACAGAGGAGCTGGGAGGCAAAGAGACACAGTTAGGGGAAGACAAAAGAGAAAATGAGACACAGAGAGGTGTTAGAGGGACAAAGACACACAGATGAGCTGGGGTAGTGGGGACTAAGACAAACAAATGGCTCTGGGGGCAGAAAGACACACATAAAGCTGTCAGTTTTTGTTTTGGTGGGGGGTGCAAGTAGCTGGTTTTGACTAGAGTGAAAATAGTCTTGCACCGGCCCTGCCGACACACCCCCCTGTCTACAGTGATTGGTGCTAGGCTTTGTCAGCTTCACAGCACCAATCACTGTGCAAACAAGCACGAGATCTCCTTCTCATGCTGCTATCATACAGTACTTATGTGTAGCAGTTTTGGTTTCTGTGACTATAATTAAAGCTCTAATCTCACCATGCCAAATTTTGCAAGGTTTAACTTTAAAACTGTCATTTACTCCTTGCAGTATTTGTTTCATAACTTCATAACCAAAAT